GGCAACTTCCCCAACAGGCACCCCAGGGCCAGGCCACAGCAATGGCTTTCTTAGGCTTTCAAAGCTGCCGTTTGCCAGCCCGCAAACCCTCCAAAACTCTCCAAACGCTCCAAACCCTCCAAAACCCTCCAAAACCCGCCAAACCCTCCAAACACCGTCCCCAGCAGGCACCTCAGATCCACAGCAATGACTTTCTTGATGCTTTCAAAGCTGCCTTAACAGGGGGCCAGGGCCACAGCAATGACTTTCTATGGGCCTCAAAGCTGCAGTTTGCCAGCCTGCGAAGGATCCAAACTTCCAAAATTCCAAACACCTTCCCCAACATGCACCCTAGGGCCAAGGCCACTTCCCCAACAGGCACCCCAGGGCCAGGCCACAGCAATGGCTTTCTATGGGCTTTCAAAGCTGGCTTTCTTAGGCTTTCAAAGCTGCCGTTTGCCAGCCCGCAAACCCTCCAAAACTCTCCAAAACCCTCCAAACCCTCCAAACGCTCCAAACCCTCCTAAACCCGCCAAACCCTCCAAACACCGTCCCCAGCAGGCACCTCAGATCCACAGCAATGACTTTCTTGATGCTTTCAAAGCTGCCGTTTGCCAGCCCGCAAAGGCTGCAACCCCTCTAAAATTCCAAACACCTTCCTTAACAGGGGGCCAGGGCCACAGCAATGACTTTCTATGGGCCTCAAAGCTGCAGTTTGCCAGCCTGCAAAGGATCCAAACTTCCCAAATTCCAAACACCTTCCCCAACATGCACCCTAGGGCCAAGGCAACTTCCCCAACAGGCACCCCAGGGCCAGGCCACAGCAATGGCTTTCTTAGGCTTTCAAAGCTGCCGTTTGCCAGCCCGCAAACCCTCCAAAACTCTCCAAAACTCTCCAAACCCTCCAAACGCTCCAAACCCTCCTAAACCCGCCAAACCCTCCAAACACCAGCAGGCACCTCAGATCCACAGCAATGACTTTCTTGATGCTTTCAAAGCTGCCTTAACAGGGGGCCAGGGCCACAGCAATGACTTTCTATGGGCCTCAAAGCTGCAGTTTGCCAGCCTGCAAAGGATCCTAGGGCCAAGGCAACTTCCCCAACAGGCACCCCAGGGCCAGGCCACAGCAATGGCTTTCTTAGGCTTTCAAAGCTGCCGTTTGCCAGCCCGCAAACCCTCCAAAACTCTCCAAAACTCTCCAAACCCTCCAACCCCTCCAAACGCTCCAAACCCTCCTAAACCCGCCAAACCCTCCAAACACCGTCCCCAGCAGGCACCTCAGATCCACAGCAATGACTTTCTTGATGCTTTCAAAGCTGCCTTAACAGGGGGCCAGGGCCACAGCAATGACTTTCTATGGGCCTCAAAGCTGCAGTTTGGGGGGCCAGGGCCACAGCAATGACTTTCCATGGGCCTCAAAGCTGCAGTTTGCCAGCCTGCAAAGGATCCAAACTTCCAAAATTCCAAACACCTTCCCCAACATGCACCCTAGGGCCAAGGCCACTTCCCCAACAGGCACCCCAGGGCCAGGCCACAGCAATGGCTTTCTATGGGCTTTCAAAGCTGGCTTTCTTAGGCTTTCAAAGCTGCCGTTTGCACACGCAAACCGCAAAATCCCTCTCAAAAACTTTCCAAAAAACAAAAACCTCCAAAAAAAACCCTCCAAAACCTGCCAAACCCTCCAAACACCGTCCCCAGCAGGCACCTCAGATCCACAGCAATGACTTTCTATGGGCCTCAAAGCTGCCGTTTGCCAGCCTGCAAAGGATCCAAACTTCCAAAATTCCAAACACCTTCCCCAACATGCACCCTAGGGCCAAGGCAACTTCCCCAACAGGCACCCCAGGGCCAGGCCAAGCAATGGCAATGGCTTTCTTAGGCTTTCAAAGCTGCCGTTTGCCAGCCCGCAAACCCTCCAAAACTCTCCAAACGCTCCAAACGCTCCAAACCCTCCAAAACCCGCCAAACCCTCCAAACACCGTCCCCAGCAGGCACCTCAGATCCACAGCAATGACTTTCTATGGGCCTCAAAGCTGCCGTTTGCCAGCCTGCAAAGGATCCAAACTTCCAAAATTCCAAACACCTTCCCCAACATGCACCCTAGGGCCAAGGCAACTTCCCCAACAGGCACCCCAGGGCCAGGCCACAGCAATGGCTTTCTTAGGCTTTCAAAGCTGCCGTTTGCCAGCCCGCAAACCCTCCAAAACTCTCCAAACCCTCCAAACCCTCCAAACGCTCCAAACCCTCCAAAACCCGCCAAACCCTCCAAACACCGTCCCCAGCAGGCACCTCAGATCCACAGCAATGACTTTCTATGGGCCTCAAAGCTGCCGTTTGCCAGCCTGCAAAGGATCCAAACTTCCAAAATTCCAAACACCTTCCCCAACATGCACCCTAGGGCCAGGCAACTTCCCCAACAGGCACCCCAGGGCCAGGCCACAGCAATGGCTTTCTTAGGCTTTCAAAGCTGCCGTTTGCCAGCCCGCAAACCCTCCAAAACTCTCCAAACGCTCCAAACCCTCCAAAACCCGCCAAACCCTCCAAACACCGTCCCCAGACCACCGCAGGTTGGACCTTGTCCTCTTCCAAACCCTCCAAACCTTTATCCTTAAACAGCTTCCCCAACAGGCACCCCAGGGCCAGGCCACAGCAATGGCTTTCTATGGGCTTTCAAAGCTGCGAGGAAAAAGTAACCAAAATCATCATTTTCTATGCGTTTTCGCTAGGCATTTACGGGGTGCAATTTTGGGGTTTCTCCGTCCTTCACTGCCATGGTGTTTTCCCATCCGGGGACCAGCAGCAGCAGCAGCAGCAAAAGCTTCTGCAGCAGCAGGAGTAGGCAGCAGCAGGCAGCAGCCAGCACCAGCAGCAAAAGCCTCTGCAGCAGCAGGAGTAGGCAGCAGCAGGCAGCAGCCAGCACCAGCAGCCAGCAGCAGGCAGGAAAAAACATGAGGTTACAATGACAGTCCTAAAAACGGAGGGTCCTTGACACTCAAAGTATATATCAATCCATCCGTCTTTCTTCCTATGCCACTATCTATCTATCCAACAATCGATCTATCCATCTGTTTATCCAACTGTCTATCTACCTATCTGTCATCTATCTCTCTCTCTCTCTTTCTCTCTCTCTCCCTCTCTCTCTCTCTCTGTCCCTCTATCTATACATCTGTCCAACAATATCTATCCACCTGTTTATCAAGCTGTCTATCTACCTATCTATCAATCTATCTCTCTCTCTCTCTCTCTATCCCTCTATCTATCCATCAATCTATCATCTATTCACATGTCTACCTGTCTGTCTGTCTGTCTGTCTATCTATCTATCCATCCATCCATCCATCCGTCCATCCGTCCATCCATCCATCCATCCATCCATCCATCCATCCATCCATCCCCATCCATCTATCCATCCATCCATCTCTCCCTCTCCTCTCTCTCTCTCTCTCTCTCTCCCTCTCCCTCTCCCTCTCTCTCTCTCTCTCTCTCTCTCTCTCTCTCTCCACAGTCCCCCCCAAATAAAGGGGGGTCGGCGGCACCTGGGCGCTAGCCCATTCTATCACATCATCGATACCATCAATCATTTTGTATTTAAGAGGTTCTTCCCTGTTGTTGATGCAATAGTTGTTTCCAATCGTGAACGTGTAGAGTTCATCAACACTCTCTTTCCTTTTAAGTGATTTCAGGTTATGGCTCAAAGATGTTCAAAGTGTATATGTGGCTGTTCTTAATCAATACGTTGAAAGTTATGTAGCTATGGCAGTTGAAGTTTGAGGGTTTATGTTTGTAAATCAAGTTGCTGTCAGTCAATATGTGTCAATATATGTCAATATCATATAATCTTGCTTGGATATTGAAATGTTTAAAAACTTTATCCATTTCATTGGCTGATGACTCTGCCGCAGCCACTCAGCCACTCAGCCACTCTGCCCAGAGTGGCTGGAGCAGCCACTCAGCCACTCTGCCAGAGTGGCTGGAGGAGCCACTCAGTCACTCTGCCAGAGTGGCTGGAGCAGCCACTCAGCCACTCAGTCACTCTGCCAGAGTGGCTGGAGCAGCCACTCAGCCACTCTGGCAGTGGCTGAGTGGCTGAGTGGCTGGGGTGAAAATTTCCGCCATTGCGCGTTCAATCCGAGTTTATGCTCATGACCGGTCCGCTAGAGCCGCCTGGAATCGCTGCAGGGTCTGCCCCAATTTTCTTCATCAACTCCTCCACTTTTTCCCGGGAGGTGTCAACATTCAGCTGCTCCACCGTGTCATAGAAATGAAGAGTTTGGTACAGACCTCCCGACATCTCTCAACTTCGCTGAGTGCTGGCTGAAGCTCTGTGATGCTCTGTGTGAAACTGGGCTATCAAAGGTGTCGCTATCAACTCAGGTTGGGTCGTATGATGTCGACAATTGAGAACATCGATCATCACTCTAATGGGTTATATAATTTGGGCATCCAGTTTCCAGCCTCCGCAAAACTGATACATGGGTTTGAAGTGAGCATCAAAGTCTGCAGCGTACTCCTCCTCATGGTTCAAAACCGTCCACTTCACCGCGCCTTTGAAGGTTTTACCTCCGCAGCGAAACGAAATCAGCAACTGAGAGTGCTTTTCACGATGAGGCAGTCATGCCGTGGCCTGCGGAGCCAAAGTGAAGTCGACAGTGTTCAAATCCATCAGGATGAAACGCAGTGTCACACTTGCTTCGGTAGGCAGACCTTTGGAGCCAAAACTTGAGGCATTGGATTCATGCTTAAACACACTTGAAGCCTAGACTACGGACACCTCAAAGTCCGCAAACAGGCGTGTTCGCAAAATGGATTCGAAGATGTTTGAAGGCATTCAGGGATCTACAATGTCGCAGGGAACTCAAACTTCTAGGAATGTTGATTGGTCAGGATCTTCATTTTGGGTCAACAGCAGCAAAAACAACGACTCTGAGCTTGTGCTGAGGAAGGGGCAAGAATCTCTCCAAGGGATCCCTGAAAAAGACTGCTTTGTGCCAAGTCTTGTCCATCCTGGGCACAGCTAGCGGTGTTCTCCTTCAACTTCAGAACGTTTGCAAGTCAGATCCGCACATCTTACAACATTCTTACAAGTAATACAAGTATACATTGAGTATACCGATTTTGGATGATTTTGCTGTGTCGTGCTGCCGTTCTTTATCCATCTTTATCCTGCACCCCACTTTGATCCATCGAGCATCATGATGCGTTCAAGATGTGCTCGATCGAAACCATGCTTTTGTGGAGTGTTCTGCCACCAGATGGGATCATTCTTCGCTGGCGATTTCCGCATCTTCGCGGCGCGCAGGTTTCTGAGCAGCATGTTGAAGGACTGACATCCAACCTTGGAGAACAAAAGGCCACAGGTCGGTTATCATGTGTCACCCTTGCCACTGGGATTTATGTGTTTATGTCTGGTGATTTTGATGAATAATATGAATATCTATGTATCCTCTAAGTGGCCAGCCATGGCTAACCCAAGTTAGGGGGAAGAGCTCAGGATGTTTGGGTTTCGAATAGTGGTCCATCATCTTGCCAGCAACTGTATACACTGTATATCTGATATCTTAGAATTTCCGCATTGATTCAAGATTAGCATCGCACTTCGGTTCAACAACTTTCCCCGGAGGTGCCATCGGAGGTGCCAAAGTTAAGCGCTCCAAGGCACCTTCTCCATGTAGCAAAACAGCAGGCGATATTCGGGGATGACGATGAATCGATCCAGAAGACGTGGATTCAACTGCACCACTTCTGGTTTTCGGATCTCAGGATTCAACTGCCATTGCCACGGAGATGGAGCTGCAGATGGCTGAGATGGCTGAGATGTCTCAGCATCCTGGGCTTGGCTGGTAGAAATGACCTGAGCCATGGGCCACTGCCAAGGTGAAACACCCTGCAAATGCTTCACAAGTGAGCTATCTTGAATTATCTTGAGCTATCTTGAGCTATCTTGAGCTATCTTGAGCTATCTTGAAATGATGAACCAAATATACCAAATCAAACAATCAAACAAAACCGACTTTGGTGCCGCAATCTATTCGCAATCTATTTAAGGGCCACATCCTGTCTTCAAAGCATGGAAGAGCTGCACCGACCTCGACATGTTCAAGTGGGACTTGGCTGGAGTTCAGGAGCAGCTCGGGAACCTAACAATGGGAACTGATCGCTGTTGGGAACACGGCTTCCATTCATTTCCCCGCCAAATTGGCGTTGCTTCGTTGCTGGCTGTTGCAATCAGTTGCCATCCTATGAACGTTGCTCACAGTTGCCTATTTTGGATGTTGATTGAATATATACTGTAGATGTTGATATATGTTGATGATCTTTTTGGATAGTACTCCTGCATACTATATTCCACAGGGATCAGAAAGTCACAGGCGCTCTCCCAAAGATGGCAATATCATGTACAACACCTACTGACCTACTGTACCTTTTGGATAGTAACATCATGTAACATCCATGAATCCGAAAGTTACCGATGAGTAACCAATGGCACTAGTCGTCACAGTATTTCAACATATTTCAACCATCTGATTCCAATCCCCTTTAGGGGGCACCATGGGGGGCAATTTGAACCTGGGCCTGTTTGAATTCGTGCATTCGGCGTGTCGTGTTGGAAAGCCTTGGCTTTGGCACCTGGATCAAGGGTCAAGATTGAATCATTGTAGATGCGGCAAACTCACCACATTTCGCAGAAATCCCAACATGTCTCAAACTCTTCCGTTTCCCCAAGCCTTCCCATAGGCTTTGCAGAGACTTTCGTGACTTTCCATCGCTTTCCCTACTAAAAAAACGCTAAAAAACGGGTCAGACATGGTCAGAGCGGATCAAATCTTGGACCTCGATGATGCGCTTTCCATTGCCAGGAACACCTGGATGTACCTGCGCCACCTGTGCCTTGGAAAGGCCAGATTTGGTGAATTACCCATCCACAATCTTACCATATTAGGATCCATATTGGTGTTCTTGTGGTGATGGTGATCATTCTTATATATATAATTATGTTATTGCTATGATGATTCTGATGACGATGATGATGATGATGAAGATTATTCCAGACATTTCTCAACCCCTGACAGCTTTGTGGAATTTTTGGACGGTTGTTGGAAACGAGAGCCATTAAGGCTGCAAGGTGAGTTGCGAACGTGCTCCACAGGGACGCCTCGGTGAAAATAACTTGTCCCAAAGAAGCTTGGAGGTGTACAGCCATTGGCACCATGGCACCATTGAGGTGTCTACGAGTTCTTCTATAAGCATGTGTGGTGTTTGGGGGTGAGTCTTGGATAGTCTTGGGACCTTAAAGATGACATGTCCGAAGCAGTTTTAAAGATGTTGCAATCTCTGCGACTTAGCGTCTAAAGCGTAAAAAATGAGGATGGCATTGATCAAATCCCGAAAATTCCTGAAGCTCGGCCATCGAAGGCAAGGGCCAGCCGGGCCAGCCATGACGAGCATGGTGGCGACATGCTGATGGCAAGGGACAAGATCTGTCAAGCAAGGTTTTTTGGTTCCACTTGCCCCAAGGTTGCTGCAAGCAGTAGAAGGTAGTCAAGGTAGTAGAATTATTGTAGTCATGGTAATCACAGGGGGGGGCTTTCTGCTGATGCGATGGTACTGAGGCAAAGAGTTGGGGCAAAACCTTGCCTCTTAGAGAGTTCTGGTGTTCTCTGCCGATTCTTTGTTGTTTTAGAGGGCTTTTTAGCCCAGCATACCCGGCCATGGCATTGTCAAGCTTGAAGCTGCAAGGGCACAGGATGGCACTGTCAAAGATCTGCTTGCTTCCAACTACTCGTGATATGGAACTCAAGAACTGCAACGCCCGATAGATCCAGCAAAGTCAGCAAGAACAAAAGACAAAAAATGTTCGACATATTTAATTTCGAATTCAAAATATTCAAAGCCCCAAATGCTGACTCTGTTCGATAGACAGTGGCGATACATGCCAAAGACAAACCCACAGCCCGCCTGCAACATCTGCGAAAGCTGTGTTGCAACAGACCAGTGTTGCCCGCGAGAACAGCACAGCACAGACGCCTAAGCAATATGTTTCTGGCGTACTATTCAAAGACTGAACTCCAATCTTATCAACTTGTGGCCTATTGACCATGAGCGGAGACTCCTCCTGCATCCTCCTGCCACTTCAAGGCACTTCAAATGAGTGAGGGCTGGGTATTTTGATGATGTCAGCATACCTCCCCAGGACGCAAGGCCGCCTAAGGCCGTAAGATCGCTGCCCATGTCATTGACCCATATTGACCCCCACCTTGATCCCAAGATCTTCAGGTTGGAAGTGCCGGCACTGCATCTCCCGCAGCATCCTGGTTTTTGAATCGCGTTGAAAGAGCAGCTGGAGGGGCTTAACGTGAAACTACGTGGGAAAACCGGAGGGGATTATAGCAGAGTATGAAGAACTTATGCTTGCAAATGGTATTCAACCGGTGCCAAACATGTCACTTTTTTTGTGGTACCCCTTCACCATCCTTTCAGCCCCTTCTGGCAGTTCAGCACATGACTTGTAGCCTCAGAGTTACGGGGTTCCCATTTTCGGACATCACGTGGCCGACTCCCACGATCTATTGAATCTATTGGTCAAAGAATTCCTACAACTACAACTGCCATCATATTTGCCGCATTGCCAGTTATGGATACCTATGGTATACCTATGGTATACCTATGGTATACCTATGGTATACCCATGGTATACCCATGGTATACCCATGGTATACCCATGGTATACCCATGGTATACCCATGGTATACATGGTATACCTATGGTATACCATGGTATACCTATATGGTATACCTATATGGTATACCTATATGGTATACCTATATGGTATACCATGGTATACCTATATGGTATGCCTATATGGTATGCCTATATGGTATACCTATATGGTATACCTATATGGTATACCTATATGGTATACCTATATGGTATACCTATATGGTATACCTATATGGTATACCTATATGGTATACCTATATGGTATACCTATATGGTATACCTATATGGTATACCTATATGGTATACCTATATGGTATGCCTATATGGTATGGTATACCTATATGGTATACCTATATGGTATACCTATATGGTATACCTATATGGTATACCTATATGGTATACCTATATGGTATACCTATATGGTATACCTATATGGTATACCTATGGTATACCTATGGTATACCTACCTAGGGTATACCTATATGGTATACCTATGGTATACCTATGGTATATCTATGGTATACCTATGGTATACCTATGGTATAGCTTTGGTATACCTATGGTATAGCTATGGTATACCTATGGTATACCTATGGTATAGCTATGGTATACCTATGGTGTACCTATGGTATAGCTATGGTATAGCTATGGTATAGCTATGGTATACCTATGGTATACCTATGGTATACCTATGGTATAGCTATGGTATACCTATGGTATACCTATGGTATACCTATGGTATACCTATGGTATACCTATGGTATACCTATGGTATACCTATGGTATACCTATGGTATACCTATGGTATACCTATAGTATACCTATGGTATACCTATGGTATACCTATGGTATACCTATGGTATGCCTATGGTATACCTATGGTATACCTATGGTATACCTATGGTATACCTATAGGTATGGTATACCTATGGGACCTATGGTATACCTATGGTATACCTATGGTATACCTATGGTATATCCCCAAACATCCCAATGGGAAGACCACAGCCCTCAGCTCCTCAAAGAGCTCATCCATTGGGACGACTTCTCGCAAGCACTCAGCACAGCACTTCCGGTAGCCACCTACCCAGTAGCGGGTGAACATATTACTGGAATGCTGCAGATCCACTGACATGTTTTGGATCATGTAAGTGGATGAAGATCATTGAATCGCGAAAAAATCCTTGAAGAGTAAAGGGACTTCGGAAAACAGCATCCGAATCATCCAACTCACAAAAAGCAGGGTGCGGAAATGATCATTGGCATTTCAATATGGCAGTCCAAGCAACTGAGGGAGATAAAGCACCTCAGTGCAGTGGGTCACAAACTTTTTGCCACTGTTCTCAAGCAGTTCTGAGTCTGTCCACGTAGGTATGGTCAGTGTCAGCGCGGGGAAAATTGGATACATATATTTGTATATATATGTATATATATATAATGTTAGATATTAGATACTGTAATTATCGCAGAACTTAGATCTTATACCAAAGAGGACTAAAAATCCGCAGGGTGATGTGGTTTCAGCACCTGATACCTTTCTGGTCGCCAAGTGACAGCAACTGAGAGACCCCCAGAGCCCCAAGGTCCGCTGCCAATGTTCTGCAGCAGCACAGGCACTCAGGGCCGATGTGTATGTCAAGACCTGAGATCTATAGAGGTACAGGATGGCTGCACCACGGCGCTGTGATCGGAAGGAATCCCTCTGAATCCATCTGAACAATTGGCAAAGGATGGCAAAGGCACGTTGCTCTCAAGCTGCCGATGCCGCATGCCATGCAAGAGAAGCATTGCCCTCTTCCACTGCCGAACATTCTCACCTCACGTAGCCCATAAGTTGGTTGAGGAACAGGCTGGAAATGTATGGAAAGGTATGGAAAGGTCATGTTGTGGGTCAAATGTCTCTGCCAACTGTGTTCCCCTCCTTCTACCGCCTTCTATTTCCCTCATCTTTTGGACTCGTAGCTGTCCAGGAATCATAGGAATTTCATGGAATACCCCAGGTCCAGTGATGGCACAGTGACAGGCGCCCATGGCGCTGCCAAGGCGAAGAAAGGTGATAGACTCGGCTCGATCAGCCAAAAGGCTCAGGGCTTGAGACCAACCTCAGCTTTTTTGACGTGGCCAGCCATAGATATTGATTTAAACAGTTTAAACATGTTTTTTTCAAAGAGTATCACATGAAATGATAACCCACTAAACATTTCAGGTCGGTACAATCATCGAAGCTCGTCCTTTGGGGTTCAAATTGTCCAAATCCATTTGCCACCCAAACCACGATCAATGTAACCGGGCGAATCTTCTGTGGGGCATCTGATGCATCTGAGATCTTTCATTCGATTTAGGAGTTGTGGTATGCCAGCTCACAGCACTTCAGCACTTCGTCAAAAAATCGAATGGGGACCGTCCAATGGCAGCAACACTTTCCCATTGTCCACTCAGCATCCAGCACGCGGAGCGTTCACACGACAGAGTTGTGGCAGACAAGGGAATCCTTGGCCGCCAAGCTCTGCTTTGAATCTGATATCTGATCAGCTCAGATCAATTCATATCAGCTCCAAATCTGATCATGTTCTGATCATGTTCTGATCATGTTTCCCAGGTAACGATCCATGGCGATCCTACAAAAGTCGAGCGTCTCATTCGGAGCCATGCCGTAACGTCGCATGGTCGAGATCAAGTTGACACACTGCTCCCAGAGACCTCGGAAACCCAGAAATGGACCATGGAACAAGAAAACCAAAGATGATGAAATGGGGAAAACATGGAAAGACATGATGAAACTTTATGAAACTTTGTCAGCTCATGTCCTTTTACCATCTTTTACCTCCTTTCCTTCTCATCCGCTCTCATCCTCTCTCTCCCTCTCTCTCTCTCTCTCTCTCTCTCTCTCGCCCTTCAGTTGCAAATCCGAGGCTCCGATGACTGTGCCAAGTGCCTCAGGAAGCTCGAGGATGCAGTCATCAACGCACCAAATTTGGAGCGTGTCACACACCACACACTTAGGGAGGTGCAATTTTAACTTGTCAGGATCTCATCTTAAACATTAGTTGGCTCGGATGAACGGATCAACATTACGCTCCCACCAAGTGTCACCCAAGGGTTCCAACTGCGCCCACCATGGGTGGGGAGCGATCCGGCCAGGTTGCAACGGTGTAGCTCGTTTGGGACACTTGGATCCTGACACCAAAGAGGATCCATCCAGGCCCCATGCTGGAGGGAAAACATATATTGAAAGCATGCCCCAACGATCTTGATATATTTTGATTATTCCCTCAATGACTTTGAGCTGATTAAAAAATATGCAAACCGATCATCCCAATCTGCCTCAAGCTCTGACATGATGCCATCAACATCATTGCAGCCTGCCAATTAGCACCTGGCCCGCATCAAATACCAACAGTTGCATTGCGGACAGGGCATGCATAGGGATACCAGGGTTAGGTTGCTGATTCACCAGCAAACATTTAAAAACCATGTTGGAAGTGCATCAAGAGCAGCAAACTTCCTTGCTGCCGTTGGTTTGTGAAGAGGTCAACTTGTCCTTCAGATGTTGCCATGTTCCATGGGACAAACTTTCAAACTGCGTAATTAAAACTCGTTTGGTGCCCATTGAAGGCAGATGCACCTCGTCCACAAGCATCTAAAGCAGCCATAAGACTCACTTCCTCAGGCACCGCAAATCTTTTGGAGGGATGGAGACCCTTGAGATTCAGAAGGAA